TGGTCTCTTGTGGAGGGTTGTCTCATTGGCAATCTTCGTTTTTATATCAACCCTGCCATATTCTTTGTGTGCCTGTCCCAAGTCAGGAGCCTATAGTTTAGTAGTTGTCGTTGGTTCATGCCTCGACTCATATTTGATATTTTGTAAATTATTTTGTTATGTAAAATTAGGCCGTTACTTTTTTCGTTTGAATTGTTTCTCACACTTTTCACGTCGGGCCTTTTATAGACGACTTTTAATACAGTATCGGGTTTTGTCATTGTTGAAGGCCTTAATTACGGTTGCCTATAATTGCTTACTTCCACTTCATATTTGAACTCCGGTGGATAGTTGCCTCATTAGCAATCATACATCTCTTCGTTTTTATATTATATACCTGACTTTTAAACTCGTGTTGTCAAGGCCTGAACCGAGTCCTGAACATGCATGACATATTTGGCACTGGGCGTTAAAAATTAGAAACAAACAATCAATCAATTTAAACTTGTGTTAAATAAGATTAAAAACCATTTGATATTTATTCATTTATTGGGGTGGGGGACAGGAGGATTTCATATATGAATATAGTTGCCTGGTAAAAGCTGAAAAATAGGCATAATTAGAGACAGATTAAAAAAGTGAATAATGCCCTTTTCCCAGGCGCGGATCCAGAGCTTAAAGCGGGTTTTTTTTTTTTTGAGAAGCATTTTTGAACATTATAGAAGTTTTCTTAATTGTTATACCGAACCTTATGTTTTCAATAATTGGCACACTTTTTGTTCATCCGTCATATGGTTACTCGAAATTGAATTTTTAGATTAGTTTAATTATTTAATTACGGATAAAAATACTTCAATAAATGAAAATGGGCAAACATTGAATGTAAAAAGTTATCCTAAAAAGTCTATTGTTGATAATTTCATCCTGATGTTATGGGCTCTAGCATTCTGATCGATCACTGCACTTTTGACAATTTCCGTGCTGATATGCATATGCATTAAAGCAAAGCCATTGAGTCTCTCGCTTGTCATGGTTGATCGCAAATAGGTCTTTAAGAGTTTGAAAGAGCTGAAAGTCTTATAATTCTCTTAAAAAGGCTGTTTGGTGGTATTCTGTGTTTCCGTGAAATTTACATTCACCATTTACCTTTACCAAATTCTGAAAATGTCCAAGGTTGTGGTCAGTAGCGCACAAAACGCAAAATTTGCAGTAAATTCCGTCGGTGAAGTTAAATAGACAATCCATGGGTAATAGTGCAGCCACGCATATCTGAAGCATCTTTTAAACCCGTACATTTCTCGTTTAGGAAAAGGAAAAAAACAAACTATGATAAGTGGTTGCCAGTTTTCAATTAGAATGCTATACATATTAACATTAGGTACAGATGTGGAAATAAAGTTTGCAATATCCTTAGATTCAGCAGGTGTCGCAGCAGTTGCAGAATTAAAAAAAAAAAATAATAAAAAATATCTTATGGATATTATAAAGTGAGAAAGTATTTTTCTTCAAATCAAGCTATCAGAAAACATCGTTTTAATTATTAAACCAACAAAGTAATAAAATATAGGATAGCAGCCTTGGATGGTCTAAATTAAATCATTTGATCCTCTAATTATTTTCCCCCATGCCAATGTAATTATGACATGTGTGTATTTAACGGAGTGTAGCGACAACGTGTCACCCAATTAAGTGCTCACTGAATATTCAATTTTTAATAAAGATAACATTAAAAAAAGAAATGATTAAGTGATTGTATGCTTTTTGCTCACAAAAAATATTTCAAGATTTTCAAGCGGGGGGGGGGGGGGGGGGAGGGGGGGGGGGGGGGTTCCCGAACCCCCCTAAATCCGCTAGTGTTTCCCTTCCCCATCCTTCATCTATAAGTTTAAACTGACCACCACGGAATAGCCCAATTTAACTTAGTGTCGAAAGTAGCGCTAAACACCAATCAATCAAAATCCCTTCCCTAGAATATCAAATAGTCGTCCCTTAACTGTTATTGTCCGTGTAGTTCTTATATTTATCCACCTTATCGTCCTACATGGATGTCCTACTAAGACTGTCATACCATAAAAACGTTTATAACACAGCTCACAATCTAATATATCTGCATTCATAAATTTATTAATGTCATTTAGACTAAACGACGCCATGTTTGTTATGTGCCTCTGCCGTCTAAACTACCTATCAAAAAAGAAGAGGTGGAAGAGAGCCAGAAGATCTTCCCTATTCAAAAAAACGGAAATGGACCTCTTCTGGCTCACTACCGAAGAACAAAAAAACACGCCCTAACAGTGTAATAATAACATTTAAACTGGGTGCACTCGTTTAATTATTCTAGTATAAAAGGTATTGTGAACATACTAAATTCATTGATAGATACTGAAACACAAATTAAAAAACATATTAAGTACAATTCTAAATTAAATCGATGTGATCCGTCCATTCGTTTTTCAAATCAACAAACCAGCTGTATTTAACAGGTCGGGCACATTCCCTAATACGGACATGTATTAGTTAGCATACTTATGCACCCGTCAATGCATGTATTAGTGTTTGTTTATAAATAAAGCATTTTTTTTTTATTTTGGCGATTGACCAATCCACTGAATGATTTGAAATGCATGATGGACTACTTGTCTATAACTGACACACTACTTAATTTTTCACATATTGCCAGAAAAGAACTTTTCTTACTTTTTTTTATCTCGATTACTGGTGATATCACCTCTGAATATACTCATTCTTTCAAAAAAAACTTTTTGCTGTGAGTATATAAATATATTCAAAACAAATTCCTATAAACTTTCATGCAAAAAAATTTATTTTATGAATGGACATGTGTAAAATAGTAATTAATATGTATATCCCCATTAAGAGGCCCCTGGTATACTGTAATTGCGCGAAGTCTTTGTTGTCGACAGCCAGTGACCGACACGATATCATTTAAATATCAGGTGTCCATGTCCACACTGTTATGAAATTCATTCTATAACTTTTTACTTTTCGACTGTCTTGAATGTCCCTTCGGTATCTTTCGCCTCTCTCTTGCGTTCTATTTCTCCTGCTTTAATTAACGTCATGGATGCTTTTAGATTTGTCAGTAATATAATCGCTGTGACATGTTACCGATTTTAATGCTCATGTTACTAGAAAATCCAACATCGGGTACTATTTAGACACTTTACATTTGGGAAGTCAATCCACTTAACATAAGGAACATCAAAGACAACAACAAAAAATCCTATTAATTAGAACATCTTAAACCTTCTAAGGATAACGTTTCAACTTTATTTATTGCACAAGACACCAATTGGACAGTTAAAATATGTATCTATTAGGGATAGACATGTCAAAAAAGACGACAACACAAAAACTTTTGATAATACTATTCAGAGGACGACAGATTGTGAATATAGTGATACCCACCGTGTTGCTCATGACAAGTTAAAAATGTGAGGCAGGGAAGACATGATGACTATGACCACCACAAAAAGGAACATACCTGCTCACTGTAAAACGGTCAACCAAGTTATTAAAATATACAATACAAATGATTATTAAAATTACACCAGTACCGAATAACTGGCTTCTTGTGGATGTTTACATCAGGGACTGAAAGTTTGCCATCAGTGGTATCAACTTAATGGTAGGAACATGCACGCATATACTGAGTTCAGTGCGCATGACAAATGACTCATAGTAAAATTCATTAGTTACAACGTAGTCGTAGAACAACGGCTTTGGATACTTAACCAAATATCTATATTTTCTTTAATTGAAAATTTACAAAAAAAATCAATCGAGATTTAGGATAACACGAGATAGTTGCCCATGCAAGAGCGGTATGATGCAATTTTTACAGTTATGGTTTATATTTACTTTGAGACAATTTCTCTTGCGTGTTCTACTTCATTTTTTTCTTTTTCGCACAGTTTCTTTGTAAAATTGCTATGCAAACAACCCGGATTACTTGCCCTATTTCAACATTACAGTATTTTTTGCCAATTACCTCGATGTGCACGTGGTCTATTGTCTTTCTATTTTGAAGTGACAATGTTGGTCATCTTATAACAGTATTTGCTAGATTTTATATGAAAATGGTGTTCTTAAAAGACAATTTTAGTATACGATGGAAGATGAATCATTGAAATATCCCGTATTGCGCACCACGTATGCACGTTATCGTAAAGCCATGAGTGGAGGGATAATCATACCTAGTAACGTCACAAAATTTCAGAATATTTTAAAACTTTTAAAAAGGTTCTAAATGCGAGAACAATCTATACAATATAAGCTACAACCTTTCAGTATCAGAAAAAAAATTGTAAATTCGTTCTTTTAGTATTGTTGATATCAGATATTTGTCGGGTTCTTGACCATGCATTTTATGTCGTTTGCGTAATATTATTTTATATAATTTGCCTTTGAACTCGTCGGTTTAAATGCAAAAACAATTATTAGTTTCTTTTTTGTGCTGCAGGTAACATGCGAGTATTTTTATGATTATTTTGATAATCATATACATTAAACTGATAGGTATACCATTTTTCGAGACTTTTATTTAAAAATCAAATTGTCAAAAGTTATGGTCTTATGTAGTCTAGTATTACTACATCTCGACTTCTCTCGTCCGACAGTAATACCCATCCTGCGGCAGTCCGTTCGGTTGTGTAGAATAACTGTATATACCGTCACGTCAGATTTGAATTGGGAAATTAAATCCGAAATCCGTGTTGAGAGTATGCCCCCTTTTAACACTTGAAGTTACTCGTTGCGAGGTCCGTAATTGGTATGTAACAAATCCAAAATTCTGTCCCTATCTAATCTTCTCTTTCCAGTGACAGACCGGACATCCCATTCTATGTACATCGCGATCGACCCAATCTTGTTTGATGTATAATTGTTTAATCTGATTTCATCTGGAACATTCATGTCATATTTGCAACTGGACATTTTGCAAACAACAATAAATAAATGGACTTTTAAGTGAACTGAAAATCAATATAAATCATTATCTACATGTATTCATGGTGATTCTCGGAAACTAATTTAAACCGATAAGAATGCTTAAAGCTGTTTCACGATGGACTAATTTAGACACAAACCAAATGACCTTTGACATCGGAAAATCAACAGCAGTTACCTGGATCTTCATCTGTTCAAAATTGCATGTACCAGGTATATCCTGGAGCATTTAAAAACTTACTGTACGATACGGGTTCTGCTCATCGTTGAAGGCCGTTCGGTGACCTGCAGTTGTTAACATCCTTGACATTCGGATTTGATGGATAGTTGTATCATTAGCAATCATACAAAGTTTCCGTATTGTTATATAGGTTGAACAACTGTGATTATATCAACTGAAAATCAGACAAAACAAGGACAAGCATGTATTTCACAAACAATACTATAGGTTTACTGCGAAGAAATATTGAACAATGATACTTTTCTAAAAGTTTGCATTAAACAATACATATCAAATTTATTCAATAACATCACATATCTAATGATTTTGATAGCTTTATAACCAATTCTTTGTTACATGTGCGTATGATGTTAGGACATAACAATGTTTTGCTGAAAGCACTTAGTCTACACGGTTTTTTTAAGCTGATGAAGTGTAAGTTTTGATCCAATACTTTTTCATTTACTCAGCATCACTCTGGTAAACTCTGTAATAAGCAATAATATATACATTTGTATTATTTCATTTACAGCTCCGATAAAATTAACACGTATTCAAATTTTCAGAAGAACTAAGTTATGTGTTAGTTTATTTATTCTAAACTGTACATTTGTAGAATCTAAAGGTGCTCAATTATAATATTTGTGTTTGAAAGAGAATAATACTGAAATGTATGATAACAACCTTTGGAGAGCTTCTCATTAAGTCTACCACAGTGCCATCCTACGCGACTAGTTAATAAAGCGACAGAGGACATTTAAGCGTATTGACAGGACATTTTTAGCTTGGAATGTATATCTTAGAGAACGTACGTAATGGACTTTTGATATGCCCCTGGACAGTACTGTTCAGAAAATTCCGATATAAACTGCTCCTTCTCTTTATCTTGTCTAGATTGAGGTGCTGATTCATCTATACTCTTTGTTTTAATATATGTTATTGTTTGCAATCCAGGATAACGTAAATTGCTTTGGTGACAACTTTAACATTGCTATCTTATAACGGTAGCCATCACCTATTGCAATTTTTTTTCTATTTGTGTCAACCGCATTCATTTCCAGGATTAAATAAAGTGTAAATGCAATCAAACTTAACATAAAGCCAGCATAAATTACTGTTCATGGTTTTAGTATGTTGAGTATCATTCAATCAGGCAAGTTTTTGCTAAAATGGTTACCAATTCAACACTGTAATTAGATCTTTGAAAATTGTTTTTATTGGTATTAATATTGATTTTGTTATAAGTAAATTAAAATCAAACTAAATATTATTTTTATTTACATATGCACATTCATGGATCTACAATCTGTCCATACCTGTATCTTGGCATTGCACAAGGTCATCTTTTTTTCTGACTGTTAATGACGTCTTTACACTAAATCCATTGGGTGTTGGATGTGTACTGATCGATATTTTAGTCTTAAATGCATGATGTTTTTATTAGTTGTTATTGGCTTTTTACTAGCTGTCAGTAACTGCGAGTATTCTCAGATCTGAACTTAGTGTATTTTTTGTTGTGGGATGTAGAAGTACAATGCTATGTCCGGTCTGTGTTTTTGTAAGATGTATTTATGCTTTGTAACTATCTGATGAGTTAAGCCCTTTTCACTGATTTTTATAGTTTGTTCTTATGTTATACTGTTACACCACTGTCCAAGGTTAGGTGAGGGTTGGCGCCTTCTAACTATTTTAACACCGCCACAATCTGTATGTGCATGTCCCAAGTCAGGAGCCTTTAATTCAGTGGTTGTCGTTTGTTGCTGTATATTATATTTGTTTTTCGATCATAATTTTGTACATAAATCAGGTTGTTAGTTTTCTCGTTTGAATTGTTTTACATTTGTCATTTCGGGGCCTTTCATAGCTGACTATGCGGTATGGGTTTTGCTCATTGTTGAAGGCCGTACGATGACCTGTAGTTCTTAATTTCTATGTCATTTGGTCTCTTGTGGAGAGTTGTCTCATTGGCTATCATACCACGTCTTCTTATTTTATATCATAAATACAGGTGAACGAATTAATTTGGCGCTAAATAGGGCTGTATTGTCATTGCTAAATGGGCTATAATGTCTGCGCCAAAATGTCACCTAATAGTTTTTTTATTCATGACGGATCAAATACATTGCAGCGGAAAATTGGGTTATCTCACAATGAAATTGTTCGTTGACATATAACAGCCATTAAAATATGTTATATTGTTACAATTTTATTTACCGTTTTAAACTGAAAAAAAAACATTTATTTGTTGATTCGTTTGTTTAATTCTAGTTATAATCTAAGAAGTTTTTATATTTTCTCAATGTTTTAGACGTTACGCACGTTATTGCGTCAATACCGTGTAATCAACCAGTCCACACTAATAAACAGTTTTTCTATAAAATCATAACAGTGAAGTTATATAATTTTTTTATCCATAGACTAGACTAGTAAAAACTATTCCGAAAAAAATTACAAACTGTTTTATCATATTTTACAATAGTCTAAAATAAGGACAACATATTGACAAAACGTCAAAAATATGCGTGTCAGACGTAACAGACTATACGCATAATAACTTTAGCAGGGGTGTTTGTGTTCTTCAAAACAGTGTTATATCCGCGAAAATTCGAATGAATGATATGTTTTATATATAAAGTATTACAATATTACTGAATATGCGTTCCTGTAACAACCAACGTTATTTTTTGGCAAAAACAAAAAGTGTCCATTATGGTCAGATTTAGGAAAATCTTAAGTTATCAAAATTTATAGGTTTCAAAATGTAAGATTATATGAAATTTCGTTTGTGTAAATTATGCTCACAAAAGTACATATATAGACCATATCAAAATCGAATTTTTGCAGCACTCGCACCACATATAAAAAGGCAACGGCTTCTGGCAAATGTCTTAAAAGATGTCCAATGTCGGATTTCGCGGCTTTTTACAAATAAACTGTCATTTGCGACGTTATTTATTGAAAATTGAGATTTGTTGTATGCTAAATATTGCTTTTCCGTAATTGTACTTTAACTCTACGAAACAGCTACATACTTTTTGATAATTTGCGTAGTCAAAACGACTTCGTTTTCAAAGAAATGAAATGTCTTGCAAGTTTGTCCACTGGACGATTTTCATACGTTTTGAACGTTGTAAATTCGGGACGCTATTTATGGTGGATCATCTGTATATATTTCCTCAGATAGAATTTTCTTGATAGTCAGATACTATCAAAAAGACCACAAAGTATAAAAAAAATCCGATGGCTGGGGTTGTTCGTTTAGATGAGGTTCTTTAGTTGTGAAAAAAATTGTGTATTACGAGAGGATAAACAATAATCTTTTTTCAAATTTTCAAATTTGGGGAGCGTAAAACTGCGATTTTTTTTTATTTCTCTGCAATAAGATTCATATGTATAGAACTTGAAAGCGTGGCAATATACCTCTCCATATCATACAAGGCTTGTAAACATATGAGATGAATAGAATTAACCTTTTTTCTGACAATAGTTTCATCTCTTAATCTAATTGTTCCGTAATTAAAGAAAGTACAGTGAATTTTATAAGCAAGACCCGTTTAACTTGTAATTCCCGACAAACATTTTTTAATTAAATCAAAATATATATCTTCTTCCTTTTCGGATCAAAATGGGGAAACATTGCATTTTATTACGTTTTATGTCAATTGGTCTCTGGTAGAGAGTTGTCTCATTGGCACTCATCATACCGTATATATCTTCTTTTTCATATAGACTTATGCATTACCTAAATACGATATATTTTGTTGTTTGTTGCTTACGTTACTTTCAGTGGGAAATATTTCATGCATATTCAGTACAACCAAACATTAAGAAGTATCAATATTGATGTGCAAAACAGAAATTGCAAGCGAAATAAAAAAAATATCCCCAATATAATCATGATAATCATTAATCGCCGTAAAACGTAAAAAAAATGACGTTACCATTTGAAACGCAATATCGTGCGTAACGTCTTAGGTCTCGAGTATACCCAATGAAGGTTATTCTAGAAACATGTATCATGCACACGGAAATTGGTATCATAAGTTATCTTACTACTACCCGGTCGGTAAGTATCAGTCCACGATGGTACCAAGGGCTACCGCACTGGCATGATTTAAATGGTATTCATTTGTGCATTATTGATAATCCTTTCGTTCTTTCTTGTGGCTGTGGTTTTGTCTTTTTTATATTTGACAAATAATTTGAATTGTCCATTTTGACCTTGTATCTTCTCATTTTTTAAGCACAAACTTTTTCCTGTCAATCATGTTTCTACATAAACTCGTACACCAAAGACATGATTATATAAAGCATGACTTTGGAATTTAAAATTGACAAATAGCTCGAAAAATATCATTAAAAGAGGAAATTTACAAAAAAAGGTTAAATCGTGTATGTTTATCAAGATGAGTGTGTCAATCGGTAGTAAAAAAAAATCATAAAGTTAATTTAGTACGTGATGATAAAGTATTAACATCGGTGATTTGCACTTTTATTGTGATTTCATACTTTTTTAACAGTAATAAGCATTTGTAATATTTACACACCTTCGTAATTGATAACACCATCTCCGTTTGTGTCAGCCTCTTGGATCATGTCGTTAATTTCATCATCTGTCATTTTTTCTCCTAAATTTAACATTACCATTCGCAATTCCTTTGCTGTTATTAGTCCGTCGCCATTTTTGTCAAAAAATAGGAATGTTTCACGAATTTCGTCTTCAGTTCCAATTTCGTTCATTTTGGATGCCATCATGTTTAGAAATTCTGGAAAATCAATGGTCCCGTTACCTACAGTGGAAAATTTGTCAATTAAATGAATATACGAAACTTAAAATATGACTTTTTTTCCTGCACACCAAGATCAGTAGACTTTTATGGTGGCCGGTTAAGGCCATTTCGCGTTTTCGCCCTTCATATTCTGTAGGGGCGAAAACGCGAAATCGCGAAGTCGAAAACGCTTTAACGCGAAATATTTTTCTTTCCGATTTCGCGTTCTCGACTTCGCGTTTTCGCGTTTTCTCCCTATAGAATATGAAGGGCAAAAACGCGAAAACGCGAAATGGCCTTAACCGGCCACCATAGACTTTGTAACATGCATTCTTTTTTTTGAACATTGAGTATTTGATATTAAGATTTTTTATATTATGATATCTATACATGAACACAAGGTGGCAATCATTCCACAATACCCTATGTTTAAATCAAAGAACTTAGATTGCTAATATATAAATAATGCCATCCAATATTCTTATATCAGCGACTGTGATTAGCAGTGGATAACATTCAGCAAAAGTCATCAACATCGTTGGAAGATACCATTAAACCTGGGTCTAAAATACTAAAATACTATGTTTTGTTTTATTCCTGCATGTGGAATTATGTTTACTCAATAAATTCCTATTTTTTCAAAATTTAGTGAATCATTCGACCACTTAAATATGATATCTTGATCCCTGTTGTAAAAGTTTTTTTAGGACTAAAATATAACGGTCATTACAATCTGAGACGTTACTACAAATAATTCATGCGCTTATCAAACAAAGAGTTATGATCTTCACAAGGAAGATTCAACGAAACATCACAATCCAGGAAAGGAAAATTAGATTTAAAAAAGTAAAAGTTAAAAGTTTATATCTCTTATATTATAATTTATAAAAGAATAACCGGAGAACAAGTCAAATGTGTGACGTTTCATTTTAAATCCAACGTAATGGTACTAACGCCGACTTCATACATCTACCAGAGCAATCTCATTTTGGTGGGTCACATGGCTTTACGCCACATTTATATAAATACATGCCCATTATATGTGAACTACCTTCACTTTGACAATAATTTACCTCTCCGATGATGAAAACTTTTCCCCAAATACAAATCAGACAAACTTTTAATAAAACTTCATTATAAAAAGTGATTCATTGTAGGCATTTTAAAAATATACAGCTTATTCCTTAGGGAGTTAGACAGAGGGGTTTATCTAATTTACACCATGATGATCATTTTATTGATAATGCAAAAGCATAGCTTGAAGTACTTTAGCAGGAGGGTCTTCTACAAACTTAACGTTATGAAAGACAGCATGATAAATGCAAAATATCGAATTACATTTATTGACATAATGGTTATAAGATGTAATAAACACTTTTAATTTCGTACGAGTGAAGCGCTTTTTGTAGATTTACCCTCATCAGGAACTCTCTAACATATACATTTGAAAGCGAGGGATCCGTAGGTACGCTGACACGTTAGAAGTTAAATATAGGTTGTGAATGACATGTGTTTCAGTAAGACAGATGATATAATTACCGTCTGAGTCTACTGCATCAATCATATCATGTAACTCGGCTTCTGATGGATTCATTCCAAGTTGTCTTAATACAGTTCCAAGTTCTTTTGTAGTTATCATACCATCTCCATCTTGGTCAAAGTTACTGAATACATCTTTTAATTCTGAAATTGAACTTTTGGATTTTTTTATTCAAACATTCAATTATAATTGTTTTTTGCAACAACCTAGCAGTGAAGTAAAATGAATACAAAATATTGACAGATACACATTGTATAAAGAAACAATTATTATTTTCCATACCTGTAGAGATTTTTAACTTTCTTATTACTTTGAAGTTAAGATGGTCGGTAAAGCATGATTACAAGGTATGTCTTGTTTATGATATTTGGAAGATAATCAGACGGAGAGTATGTTAATCTAAACTGTCATAAACATTTTGCCTTCTGATTATTCAATAGCAAAAATAGCATATGTTTTTGCATACATTTTGTAGGTATGTATATAATAATTCCACTTGTGTACTGCATTTCTCCGTCAATGTTTATATGATGTAATCTGCAATAAAGTTCTCGTTGAAGTGAAATATGAGCTATTTCGTAAAACCATAGCAAAGAATCGTATTGGTGCTATATTTCAACATATAAAATGCATTCATCAGAATATGTATTGACATTAATTTCTATATGTAAACACGAGAAGTGTTATTTTGAAGAAAATCACAGTAATCATGTACTTGGCAAATTAATGATATAGACTGGCATCGTACAATGATAAATGTTCTTATGCCCTAATGGTTTCTTCCTCCTGTTCGTGTCTTTGTAATGTGATTTTATATTTGTAACTCATAATCCCTCCATAAGCTTTCATCAGTGTGTGATGTGAATGACTGATGGAAACGTACTCGTTTTTCGTAATTCATAGAAAACAAATTAATCATGTTTTACACGTGCTTCTGTTGATATCTATGTATGTTTAACATTCTCCTACTAATGTTAAGATTTGAAGTTATTTAACAGTATTGCTTGTACGAAGCCTTTTTGCAAAAATAATGAGCTGATTCACCCAGAAACTACAAAAGCTTTGGAAATCTTAACATTATTCAAATTTTTATGGTTATAGAACAGAAAACATGTGTGATGTTAGTTGTAGATCCTATATTTCTACTCCGAAGATAGCGTTGTCCCATTGTTTACTTTCGAATGTCTGGAAGTCTATATTTCGCGTGCTTTTATTTACATCATTGTTCCATTGCAAAAAGCTTTAGATTTGTCAAAAAGTATTGATGACTTTTTAATTATTTTAAATTTCTATGAACTTTAAGCATGTTTGTCAGTAGTTAGATAAGCTGAATAAGTTAGGGTGGTCTACCTAAGTCAAAGCAGATAAATGAACATACATTGGTGAAACTTATGTCTAAACTCACCTGATATTGTTCCTTCGTCTAACTCCGGCTAGAAAAAAGACAAACAAATAATATTTTGACAAAAATGTTTCATAACATTTCAACACACTCACACACAAACACGTATGATCACATATACACAGACTTACGAATCCATTTTATAGCGTACAACACTCCAGAAGTAAGTTTAAGAAAAATATTAAATTATAAAAAAAACAATTATTATACAAGCACTGGCTTTTGATGAGGTAAATATGTGGTTTTACAGACATTTGAAAAACTGATATTCACTGAAGACGGGCCGAAGTGAATATTATTTTTTTTCAAAAGTCAATTTAACCACATATTTACGGAAACAAACGACAGAAATTTTGTTATTCCATATTCTAAGAGAAAATGAGTATTCAATAACAATTATTTACCAGAACCAACTGTACATCAAACATTTAACCATACCTATACATGTAAAATGCGTGACGTGTATCAAGGTGAATTTTTTTCAATTTTCTTCAGGTGAATATGCTTTTTTTTCAAAATCCAATTCATATAGAAAAGACCTACTAAAATAATACCAATATGTAATAGATGTTTAATAAATTTTTCAGAGAACACACATTCTTCATAAATATCATTTATAAATTGTGACAACACATTGGCAACATGAAAGACATATTGAGTCAATGAGGTCATTATCAATATACAATTTTCGTATATTGTAGGAAAGTAAATAAATAATTTGTATGAGCTTTAGAAATAAGATGAGAAGAGAGGCTCGTAGAGCTTTTCTCCTGTTTCGTAGAGAGTACAAATACATTTGATATGTGTGCTCTCATTGATTTTAATCTTTAAGTTTACATGTCGATCAATTTGTTTAGTGTAAAGGTTCCTGTTTTCTTCAGAATTGTCCCCGTTACTGATGGATATCAAAACGTCAAAAAGCATAGTTGCCAAAAGCATTTATCCGTGTAAAATATCTTTTGGTGTAGGCTTCACGGAAATAGTATTTTGAGATATTTAAGAGCAAAGCTCACAACATGATACCCCCGCCCCTTGAAAGTCAATGATTAGCAAATAGAAATGGAAACTCAAACATAATTCGGATTAAAAAACAAAATAGGGGTTGCTTATTATATGGTTCAGATTCTGCGAAAGCTTCAATAAACTCTAAGATGTGAAGGAGGAGTTATGGATACAAATCGGTACAGCGTTAAGTCCCAGATTTGCTAAGGAAACCTTAAAATAATTCGGATAAACAATAGGAAGTGAGTCCTGGCGTTATATGGTGAAGATTCTGCGAAAGGTTATTCAAACTCTGATTTGGTGTTTTGCTCATTGTTGAAGGCCATACGGTGACCTATAGTTTTATGTCATTTGGTCTCACGTGAAGAGTTGTCTCATTGGCAATCATGTCACATCTTATTTTTATATTTCAGAGAAATAGTGGATACACTTGTGTACTGCATTTTGCGGATATATCACAAAGTCCATGTCATGCCAAAGTCAATACAAAAAAAAAATCATTGGAAGAAGAAAAGATATTAGCGGTACAAAAGTACGTCGTTTGAGATAAGTAAGATTCGGTGATCAAAATCTTATCAAGTTGTGCATGGAGAAGTTGCGGATACAAAAGTGAGACAGAACAACGAAAGGACGGACAAACAGATGGATTCCACATCACTATATACTAGCCGTATTAGAAAGAGAAAATATATACACAGATACTTTTGCGCGTGTACTTTTTTAGTACTTTGATCATTAAGTACTGAAAATGTACCAAGATAATGTAGTAGTGATGTGGTACCTGTAAACTATCTTAACTAGTTCATTGCCATAATTTTACAGAACTGGATTTTTACTACAAATTTGAATTACCAGATTTGTTTCTCAATATGGATAGTTGTATGAAGGTACAATAAAACAAATAGTACTTCTTTTTTTAATCATAATTTGGATGGAAATTTTACTAAAAGTGTATTATTTAAAAGTACTGAACTTGTACGAACAAGTTTTGTACCTAAAGTGTACACACTAAAAGCATAAAATTTTGAGGGTTGCTGCTCACAAGGAAGCTATTAAACCAAGGGTTCCAAGTGGTGAAGTTGAAATCATCCCTTCGTAAGTTTTACGGACGCCATCACGAGTTGGTTGACCGTTATGGAATATCCGTTTCACAGATGATACCGGATATGTTCCTAATGTCGTAACTACAATCCCGTTCCCTTTTCCCGAATGTGACCTACCGAATTAGAATTATTACCGGGTTTCTACTAACATGAGAAACACGACGGATCCCACATGTGGAGCTGGGTCTGGTTGCCCTTCCGGAGCACCTGAGATCACCCCCTGTTTTGGTGGGGTTCGTGTTGCTCAGTCTTTGGTTTTCTATGTTGTGTTTTGTGTACTATTGTTTTTCTGTTTTTCTGTTTTTCTGTTTTTCTGTTGGTCTTTTTCTTTTTTAGCCATGGCGTTGTCAGTTTATTTTTCGACTTATGAGTTTGAATGTCCCTCTGGTATCTTTCGCCTCTCTCTTACTTTCAAATTGGAGTACAAATCCAGTACTGTGAAATTATGGCACTTATATAGTGCTATAGTTTTGAAGTAATGAAAAAATACTACTGTAACATTATTTAGGTACATTTTAAGGACATAAAAAATTACACATGCAAAAGAAGACACTTACACAGGTTGGAATTGAAACTGAACTTCAAGTTCGAATATTGAAAGGATATTTAGAGAAACACTACGACCAGCATCGGAAGCCTCAGAATATAAGCTGTGTGATAATGTAAATAAAACCCAGTAATTGTATACTCAGAATTTGGAAAACGAAAGATCAAGTATCTAGTTGCTGCCAAAACAAAACCGAGTCAGATTATATATGTGGCAACACTAGTTTAGTTATGTTAAACATTTTGAATAATACCAACTAAATAAAAATCATAAGGGAATCGTATGAACTCTAAATTAAGAGTGCATATCATCCGACATGAGAATAACAAAATACAGAACAAAACAAATTGAACATACCATTAAGAAGAACAAAAATCACGTTTTTTTTAACTAAATACATAATCAAATAAATAAGCGAAATGTACATCTGAGGTATCATATGTTCAAAAAGAAGCGTGACAAAAAGTTTTTAAAGATGTTTTTTTCTTAATTTATACACAGAGTAATATGAACATCAACCTTCTCGTCGGTAGTAAAACTAATGGTGAACTAGAACCTCAACCTACACGTCTTATACAACATTATATGATTGTATGAAAACCTCAGACTTTCTACACCTCTTTAAAATATACAGTTATGATATAAAATTTAATATGAACTTTTTTTCAGAAGCTATAAACTAAATAAATGGAGAATCTGTCCATGGGACACAGATGATGTCCCCGCTTGCATATAACGTTATAAAAAAAAGGACATATAACTCAAGAACGGTAAAAGTGACGCCACTCAAAATGAACTTGGTCTGAGTTTTGTAGTTATAAGCATTGTGTATAAGTTTCATAACATTTGGTTGAGGCAAACTTAAGTTAGAGAACGGAAACGGAAAATTCAGCAATTTTTCCATTTGTAAAGGAGCATAACTCTAGAACGGTAAAAGTGACGCAACCCAAATTCAAACTTGATCTGTGTTTTGTGGTAATAAGCAGTGTGTATAAGTTTCATAGCATTTTGTTGAGGCCAACTAAAGTTGGAGAACGGAAACTAATTTTGGGACGTACAGACGGACAAGGGTAACACTTAATGATTTCTCCGCTGCGGCGGGGCATAATAAAAAGAGAACAGATGTATTAATGAAAATGGAAATTACGGTACAATAGATAAGAAAATATTAGAATATAAAAAAGTAATAGAATACTCACATATGACATTTTAATGATGAATTAGTAAAATCTCTTAAAGTTCAAATCCATTTCAATTCAAGCATTACAGTATTATACATATTTTCATTTTCGTTGCAACATTATTCATCTATAATTCACAACTGGTCAGTCATAGAATGAAAGTCATATATCAGTCACAACAGGCCAGAAATCGTACGAACGATGGTCATTTATATGTCACAACTGGTCAAACATAAAACAATGGTCATCTAATAGTCACAACCATGTGCTTCTGACTGTTTCAATCTTACATAGGAGGCAACTGTGACACATCACCAACATTAATTGTTGTTGCTCCGTCAAACTCAATTAGTATATAATAACACAGACGCACTGTTAATTCACAGCCAGCATGCAAAACATTCATTAATAAATATTGTATATAATAACTTTCATTTTCAGCACCGACTTCCCGAAACACTCAAGGAATTAAGCATCACTATATCACAAGGTACATATGCATTGTAATTGTAATTAAGTCTCCCAAACGAAGTTTGGGAAGACTTATTGTGTTTGCTCAGTTCTTCTTCTTCTTATTATTATTATTATTCCTCTTCCTCTTCTTCTTCCGCCGCTTTTAAATTTGAACTTGTCCGCACCCGTTCTCCAAAATCGCTTGTCAGATTAACTTAGGGTTCCACAATATGTTAGACTAACTGTCTAGTGGTGCAATCAGGGTTTTGTTTGTGCAATGGGGTTTATAAAGAGGGTACTTTGACGGGCAAACATGAAGGAGGGGTTTACTATAGAACCCTATGGGATTTTATTTTTTTAAATTTTCAAATGATTATAACTTGAAAACAGTTAGTGATAGACACAATTTTTATAATTGAAAATGTTCTAAATGATAAAGCACATTAAATGAAATAATAAAAGGTTAGTCCCCAGGGGTCACCCCCACCCCCTGCCACCCCACCCCCTGCCATTTGAGAAAGTTCTAATATCTTGTAAGTGGTCAAGATCCCCACCCCTAAACTATATTCTGGTTTGTCATGCCAATATGATTTGAATGATATACAGGGTTAGTCCCCAGGTGTCATCCCGACCCCCTTGCCATTTGAAAAAGTTCAAATATCTTTAAAGTTCTCAAGATCCCCACCCCTAAACGATATATATGCTGGTTTGCAATGCCAAGATGATTTAAGTGATATACATGGTAAGACCCAATGGGTCATCCCCACCCCCTGTCATTTGAAAAAGTTCAAATACCTTTAAAGTGGTCGAGATTCCCACCCCTAAACCATATATATTCCTGTTCGTCATGTCATGAAGATTTGAATGATATATAGGGTCAGTTCCCAGGGGTTTCCCCCACCCCAGTTTTCTAATATATTGTGAATGGTTGAGATCCGCACCACTAAACCATATATTCCTGTTCGTCATGTCTCGAAGATTGTAATAATATATAGGGTCAGTCCCCAGGGGTTCCCCCCTCCCCAAATGTTTTAATATCTTGTAAATGGTCGAGATCCCCACCCCTAAACCATATCTTTTCCTGTTCATCATGTCACAAAGATTTGAATGATACATAGGGTCAGTCCCCAGGGGTCCCCCCACACCCAATGTTCTAATATTTTGATAAAGGATCCAGATCCCCACCACTAAACCATATATATTCTGGTTTGTCATTCCAAGATGATTTGAATGGTATAAGGGGTAAGACCCAAGGGGTCATCCCCACCACTTGTCATTTGAATTTGTTCAAATATCTTGTAAATGGCCAAGTTCCCCAACCCTAAACCATAGATATTCCTGTTCGTCATTTCACGAAGATTTGAATGAATTACAGGGTCAGTCCCCAGGCGTCACTTATTCATATCACTTTACTAGACCAAACCAATTTTTACTGGACTTTGCCCAATGTCAGGCCTGGGAATGACGAATTATGGGAGCTTCGTTTGGGAGACTTCGTAACTGTATCCTGTTACAATCGTTTCTTGTTAATATTAGGTTTGCTCTTAAAGAGGCAGGACAAAGGTAATTCAAACATTTATGTTCTCTTTATTACGGATTCGACTGTAAATTTTGGGGTTTGATAAACAATAAATGAATAACGAAAAACGATAACGAAATACAAATATGACAGACAGCAGCCGACGACAACCACTAAATTACAGGCTCCTGCCTTAGGACAGATAGATAACGATTGTAGGCAATCATACCACTTCTTCAATTTTTTTGATAACACCATGTTAAATATTAAATAGTTGTTTTGACCGTTAATTTCCTTAATTTGAAAAAATCTTGATAATAATATAGATTGAATGACCTAAAGTGGATATTCATGTCTGACTTAATTGGAAAATAAACAAATGATAGAAAGAATTTGCTTCTGTTTGGTCCTGTTTACTTTTGTTTCTATTTTTCCTCTAAAACAGGAGGCCAACTATAATCTACTTTGATTCAATAATGAATGAGATACCATCTACGAGATTAGTTATTTCGTTCTGATCGAGAGGAACACATGGTAATGCCAATAATAAATAGGTTATATATACTGATGAAACATAATGCATACATTTGTACATGTAGGAAATGCAAAACGAAATGCTTGAAATGTTCATTACTGCGTGTTAATTAGGTAAATAAACTGTCGTATAGAGGCAATTGTTTATTGGGTTAATGCCAATGTTTTCAATATGACCATTCAGTATTACATAACGATATTTCACTCCCATTAGGTGATCGGAAAAAACGATTGCTTGCTGTCTGTTTAAGGTCTTGTTCCCTCATTTTGCAAGGTTCTGTAAACCAGAAAAATTATTATAAAGGTCAAATGCAAATGGAATTGTCTTAGTTTAATAGAAACTAATGTACTATTACAGGAAGGTTTTGGTATAACAACGATAGAATTTCAACGTGAATAGGTACTACTCTAAAATTATTATGATTGATTCTTTTCATGCAAGCGGAGTCAGTTATTGCAGTAAACCCATTCTTTGATTAATACTGCGTCTCTGTGTATATAAAGAAAGTAAGTTAATGCAAGTCGAATTATTGTAACAGTAGGTTATAAATAATTTTACACGGATTTCATTCGGTGATGAATGTAAGTATTTAAAGCACTTAAAGTGGTCATTTCATCGGACTCAACTTTATTGAACGAAAAATATATATATTTGAAAAAAAATATTGCAGAATAAAAGTGCATACATGTATTTCAAGCGCTTTCAACCTCATGAGACTTTTCATGATGAAATTTAACTCTGGCGACGCTGTCAAGTAGGACCCGGAATGTTTCGTCATTTTTCTTTCATTTGATGATGGTGCAGAAACTACGTTTTTATAAGATTTACAAACAACGTATGCTTGGTAAATTTATGCAAGTTTCTCCTTTAAATACACAGGGCAATGATGCAGTTATCTCTTTAAGTATCTGAAATATGTTTGAATGAAGACCTACATTGGTATCGAATGAAGTAAAATTTGCGACAAATGTTCCTAAATTTAAGGCAACAGCAGGTTACCGATGTTCAAATTTCATTAATGAGATAAAAATCAAGGTAAAACAAAATCTGATGGAATCGATTGAATTTCAATAGAAACAAGACCGGATTTGTCGACAGGTTAATGTTTACTGCTCTTAAAACTGTTTTAAAATATCTTAAACCAATTCATATTTTGATTTTTTGCTTCATTAATTGTTTTTGCTTCATTACTTGTTTTTGCTTCATTACTTGTTTTTGCTTCATTAATTTCTGTTTGATTGCGGAAATTTATCTGGCAGCAACATATGGAATTTAAAGAAAAATTTCTGGCCTACGTTTTTAAAAAGAAATTTTTAAGGATAATTTTTTTAGAAAGTTTTTCACAGTTTTTACGTGCATCCTATATGTTTTGATACTTAAATGATTTTCATTCAAATGAACTATAGCAAGTTTAATAATTAAATGATTTTCAGTTACAGGACCAAGTGGTATGCAAAATCTTACAAACATCCTGAAACAGACCAATTAACTGTTCCTTGACCTTAAAAGCTTTAGTGAGGTTAAGGTACAGTAAATGGGCTATTTATGCATTTACCAGTATCTCTTTTATTTTCTGAAATATTTTTGATTGAACTCTTTCAAAATAAGTGAACATTTGTATTGAAAGCACATAAAATCGGCAAAAAACGTTCTTTAAACTGTCTTAAAATCATCGAATCTCCAATTTCAAGTCCATAGATTTGTTCTTAAAAAAGTTTATGCTGTTAATACTGTAAACACACAAGACTAACAAAAGCTACAGGATCCTGACTTGGGACAGGCGCACAAATGCGGCTAGGTTTTGTTAGATCTCAACCCTCCTCCTATACCTCTAGCCAATGTGAAATAAACAAAACCACAGCAATACGCACACAAAACTCAGTTTAAAGGAAGTCCGAGTCCGATGTTAGATTAGGTAACAGAAGAAGGTAAGCAAAATGACAATGATCAACAATACATTAAGAAAGGACACTAGCAGTTACTGAAATTTTTTCATATGGAAACAGCTTACATTCTTTCAAATAAAAAATGATGTGTCACATTTGAGTTATTAACTATTTACCACCCCCGCCTCCTAAAAAAAAATAAACTAGAACATAAAATAAATGTAAAACCTCTTCCTTTTCATTATCGTAGAAGGTATTCATCAGTTCTCTGGAATAGTTTTTACTTGCACCTGTGACCTGTATAACTTGTTAATCTAGTGATAAAATGGCTAAAACATTTGTAGAACACAAAAATCAAATTATACGGAGTTAAACATCTCATAGACAGCTTGTCGGAGCAATGGAAGTTTACATGATAACATTACTATCTATAAGAAGTCTAGTTTAGTAATATAATTTGATTGTGCTGACCGTATAATGTATTATAACGGGATAAATCATAAAATAATCAAACTTATAGATAATGTCCAAATATAAACACGTTTCATACATGATTTTCTTTTCTTTCAAGTGCATTGTCATCAAAGAGGCAAAAACATAGGCCAAAATGTGTTTTATTACTAGAAATAAACGAAGACAACATCAGCACATAAAAACGAATTGAAAAACAACTTTATTCGGTCTATACGAGCAAGGTGAATCAATTCGTGATGGTGACCGTAACATTTATGTAGTGTCGAATTGAGTCGTTCTTCCTCATTACTCTTTTTGAGCAGTGTACGTGTAAGGAGCACAGCTACGTTAATGATGTCCGTGTAGCGTGAACATGCTCGAGTGTATATATTAGCTGAGATAGGAAAACGCTAAAACGAGGGTACAGAGGGTATATCATACCCGAGAAATGGGATGTTGATAATTGGAAAGTTGAAATTATCACGTTTGTCATAG